AGCAATATGCTGAGCGTAATATGTCTTATATCATAGAATGAATAACTCTTCTTATTCATAAAGACCGATATCCCGAGAATAGTTTACGGTCTGTGAAACRATATTGTATCAATAAAAGGAGGAACTGCTGTGGTGTGTTTGAGTGTGCCAAGTGCTTTCTTTAAAAACCAAAAGAGATAATCATATAGTATAGGATAATCACTAATCACGTCATTCGAAAAATGGAAGTGCCACTAAAATAGGCAGTCAGCGCGAAGCCCCTCACCAGTATACCAGAAAAAGCAAACTTTTAGTAGGGCAGCAATCAATACGATCAAATATCCCGGCAGTGTAACAATTCCTGTTCCGAGATCAGTGAAAGCCAAACCAAACAAAAGCGCATTACTTAGTGTATGTAATGACGATGTTTTGTAAATACCAATGAGAACTAGAGTATTCAGWAAGACGGTAAGAGGAATGGCCAGTGAAGTCACAACAATACCAGCAATGAACAACTCGTTTATATCCAGGTTCACGATATGAAGGAACTCTTTACTGCACCAACCGGTGGAGTGTAAAGTGGAGTTTCGGTACTATTCTTATTTCAATCCACTGACGCTGGAGGTCAGCTTGTTGAATGGTGTTTTGAACAAGAAAAAGATGCAAAAGAACGCCATTAAAGTCAATCTAACTCGGTTTTCAGTAAACTCATTGTTACCAGTTAAGTGTCGTGTTCCTGGTATGATTTTCTTTYTTTAAGCACTTGACGTAAGATTGAATATAAGTCTAGAATTTTGAATAAACTACTTACTTAAAAAGTCATCCCTTGATTCAATTATGGAAGTATCCTTGTTACGAACGGAAGAGCAACCAATTTGTCAAAAGAATATCATTTAGATGAAAAAGAGTTTTGATGAAGAACTCAAGGAGAGTGTGCCAGAATAATAAAAGATCTTGATAAATGGTTCATAAAGCTGTTYGATGTTTGCATTGAGATATTCCTGGTGAGCAGGATGTAGAGCAACAAAAGGTTAATACAGCATGGCGGAGAAATTCCCATTCAAATCACTGTGATCACTTCAGCCTTCTTTTACTCGACGATACCCAACAAKAACTTCCTACAATTTCATTGCAGATGCTGACTTTTAATTTCCATACGGAAATCATTCGGGGATGACTTCCTGGCCTGGTCTAAACTGATGCGATGGTCGGGATAAATTTTGTGAACAGATGTTCATATCATGGTTACTGTCATTTTCATAAATATGTCACCTCTACTTAAATCTGCAAACTTAAATCGAACTGCTGCACTATTAAGAGCAAAAGAAGTGGTCACTAGTCTACAGTTGTGTGTATATTCTACAGTTGTTGTTCTTTAGAAACACCGACGCAGCTCACACTAGTTTTCCGCTAGTTCCCACCTGGTCACTAGTTTGTTCAAAAACTAAAGCTTCTTATAAGTATTTATATATCTCAGTGGGAATAAAGTAATTGCTGTACATTGTATTCARATTTCAAACAGAATTCCAGTGCGACTGCAGCTAAGATTCTTGAYATCGCTGTAATGATTCCTCAAGAACAGCACTGCTTTGTGATAGTCTCTCTAATAGGTTTTTACTCATTGGTACTGCAATGGAATAGAAATATCGTGATAGKCGCTAATCAATCAATTAACCAATCAATCAAACATAAATCAACAAATCAACAAATCAATCAATTGAGGAACAATTAAGCAATCAATGGTACAAACCTAAAGCATGATCTTTTAGCTTCTGTAATCTAGCACCAGTTGTGTCTCGCATACTACTGTAAGTAAGCTTAACAGAGCATAGACTTTCCATCAGCTACAAATTATATAAATAAATGACATTAATAACTTAAAAAAAGTGATTTTTCCACTAGATCACCTAGCAGACTTTTTTCTTACCACTGAATACTTGTCAAGTAAGGAATGTACCCTTTGGAATGCTGGCCCGAGTTCTGAAAGAGGACAGTTACCCTGGTTCATTTCTTTTAAATTCTTAAAATAATTTTTAAAAATTGTAATTTTGCCTTTATATATCCACCGTTAGTTTTTTATATATTTTAAAATCTGCTATGATGTGTATAACTTTGCAGATTAATAAAATTTAGATTTATATCTCTAGACAGATTCCATTTGATGATTGATCAGTTAGTACCTGAAAGTTTGGGCTGCGATCTATAGCACCAAGACTTCATTTCAGTCTCATAACAATGGATAAAGCTTGTGACAACTTGTGACATTGTTGTTAAAGCTAAGCTCAATGTCTTGTTGACTTTTTCTCTTGTAGAGGAATCGGTGTTATTTTCATCAATCTTTGCCCTTAAATCCTCAAGCTGCATGTTTTGTGCCTCTAATTCAGAAGCCAACTGGTCAGCAACACTGGCTAACTGTTTGTTGTCAGGCACTCTGAAAAAAGGTGCATAATCTACATGTACTAGTGTTTGACCTACATGTAATCAAGGGTGATATCATGTTAGAAGCTCAATTTCAAGATCCTTGAAATTTCATAGACAAGCAACAACAATATAATGAAGCAAGCAACAATGTCAACAACTAAAGACCAGTTCATACCGGGTCAGTTAAGCTGATAGTTTACACAAGAATTGTTTACATTTGGATATTATAAAAAAACAGATCCACTTTTGGGTATAGATGGACACTTGCAGTTGAGCAGACCGTGTACAAAGCACAGCAGTTGTAAAAACAGCCAGACATAGTCCTCAAAAGTTTGTGGAGTGAACAGCTCTGTGTTTTAATGTAGTTTAACATCGCTGTAATTGGCTCTGCTGTTGCAGTGTCCCTGCCACTTTCTCATTATTGTGTTTGCATGTTATTTATTTATGTTATGTACTCATGTATTTACAGATGTTATTCTTGGCGAAGCTAATAAAATAAAAAAATCACCGCATACTTTGACCTGGGAAACAAAATGTAGAATAGATACCTTGAATCATCAGACTTGGAATCTCCTTTSACTAGATCTAGTGGGCAAAGTTGTATTCTTGTCTTGAAAACATCACTGAGATCTTCTTGACGACATAAAGTGTCCAGAAATTTACAATCATTTTCAAACTGATCTCCAATGCTGAAAACAAAATGTTTTCCTTAAACTTATGCAGTAATACTATTAAGTAAACATAGCCTTGCAGGCATCTCTCTTCCTTTTCTACTATTGGGCTTCCTGTCTTCTTAAATATGACTGAGAGAGAAACTATAATATAACCCTGCAAAATTAAAGATAAAAGAGTCCTGCTTGGACATCAGAGCATAACAGAGAGATCTCAAAAGAGCAAAATGATATCCACAGAAAAGCTAGAGTACAAACACTTAATCTGTGAGTCATAAATAGTACCTAACAGGTAAATGTCTTCAATCATGCTAACACTTTGTTTTCTATTGTCTAATGAAAAAAATGTTATTTTTTGTACATTTTAGTGTGTGCACTCTACATCTGCAATATAACATTAAATTTAAATCAAACAACCTTTTTACAGATCACATTATTATTTATATTTTTCTGTTTATCTTTTTTGTCTTTACCTTTCAGTAACTGTTTTTCCATGTATTTTTGCACTTGAGTCAAGGGAATCAACTGTGCTGACCAAATCAATCATATTTTCCATGAATACAATTTGTTTGGATTTTGAAGTGCTACCCTGTATCAAATATCATTAAAATCATTAGTAGCTAAAAACMAAGAGCTGCTAGAAATGTAAAACTGTTACCTTAAGTAGTTCAATGTCATCGTTTTTACAAAGACCAAGAAGACTACACACAAATAGCAACTCTGAAAATATAAAAACAAACAATCGTAAATATGGAGCTTATAATAAGCTTATAGAAATATTAAATTAAGTATGTAAGTTTATTCTGTTTGCTTACTTTGTAGCCTGGAATCACCTTTAGCTTTGCCCTGGTGACTCTCTAGGATATCATGAACAGTTGGATCAAATCTACAACAAAGAAAGCGATAGCATAAAACATATGGGATGGTTTGATCATGCATCTGTTAATTATACACTTAAGTCCTATATTTGATATGCATAATCGCAAAAACCACGGGTGCTGTTATGAAATGGAAGGAAGACGGGATTCCAGGGTTGACTACAGTCAACTTTAACTCGACCACACGAGTCAGTTAATCAAATAAGCTTACATGAAATAGTGTTCATTTTATAAAAATACCTGCCCAATAGCCACTGAATCARTCGTATTCTTGGTTCACCAGGTTTAAATATCAGCTCCTCTATCCAAGTATCTTCGACGCCATCAATGTATGGACAGTCAAGTTCCTGTCGATCAAAAAGAATCGTGACATTTTGTTGATCATTCATTGCAAAAACATCAATATAAGTAGAAGCTCACTAGAAGCTCGCAAAACATTCACAGTGATCCAATGCAACACATTGTCAAGCATATTTACAGACATCAATGTCAAAACTGCAAAAACAAACCTCTAAACGAGTTCTAAAGAAATGTACTCTTTCCTGAGTCGATGCCGCCATTTTTTTGAAACTCTAAACATTKAAATGCATGATGGGAAAATCTCTTACGAGAGTAATCCGGACCGAGCCGAAGAAATTACGAATTCTGCAAGAATGTTTTTTTTTTCGTTAATCTACAATTTTAGAGACAAAAAACTGCAATTTTTATTTATTTTTTAATTWTAATTGACTAATCAAGACAGATTTTCTTTAAATTTGCATTATATTATCTCGTGCGATATCGTGTACATTTTTTTGCATCTTCGGAATACCTCGGACCTAATTCGGAYTTTTGTAAGGTTTCCTTCCATGTCACGTGAGTTAAACAAGATGGTGGACTTCCTTGCAGAAAACAACGCTTGTGGACAGACTGCTGTAAAACTTGTAAGYCGAGGCAATGCAATCATTGCAGAATTGCTTCGACTGTCCGATTTCATTCCACCAGTCTTCAAGCTTGAAACGAGAGAGGAGAAAGAAAAATATGGYGAAGTTTTGACTGATTTCTCATACTTCAAAGGGCCAGACTACTACGAAAACAAAATCAATACAAAACCTGTAAGTATGCTAAAGAATTTAGATTTGATAAGTTAACGATTTCACCATGTCATAAAATGTTCTTAGTTTTAATAATATTTGATTATKCTAGAAATGGACAATATATTTAATTTGTACAACATGGTACCAGCCTTCCYCCTTCCTGTCTAGAAGTCCTAGCATAGGAATCCCCACCCCCTCCCTGCATGTAAACGTATTAGTATTACTATTTATTTGTTTCAAATGACTGATGTGCACCTATACAAACGTGTTTTCTCAGGATCTACAAGATCTTGATGAAGAATTACGGGAGAATAATATTGAAATCCTGACAAGGTTTTACATGGCCTTTGAAAGTGTACACAAGTATGTCTCAGATTTGAACAGGTATGTACAGTTATGTATGGTGTGTTATAATAGATGATGTAACTTGTTTCAATGATAGTCTATAGCTACATGCTCAAATATCACATTAACAAACTTCCCACATGGCAGCCGGTATGACTTATACTTGCTCAGACCAACCCTTTAATACTTCACGTCCCTGGCCATAGTTAGTAGTAGTACTAACTATGGTCCCACTACCCCCCAGGGGCAGCCCAGCACAGTCTAGTTCAAGTATTGCACAGTATTGTTGGTTCATTAWGGKGTATTATWWAACTGTGACCTTTCATTTAACATGGCAGCTTACAACAAAGCCTATGAAAACCTTGCCATAGAACCCTAAATGAATATAGCTCCCCACACCCCCCTCCTTACAACCTCTCTTTGCAATGGTTAGCTCCACAAGTTAGTTCATGCATTGATTTGTTTATAAGGTTTCTTGAAGACTTGGACGAGGGTGTTTTTATACAACAAACATTGGAAAGTGTGTTGTTGAATGAAGATGGCAAACAGATTATGGTATATGCTTGATATTTATTATTTTATAACAATATAGGTTAGTGTTTTCAATTTTCACATTGTCTATTTACATTGTATTTCAGTGTGAAAGTCTTTATCTCTATGGTGTGATGTTATTAGTGATTGACATGAAGTTTGAAGGTGATGTTAGAGAAAGAATGCTTGTCTCATATCATAGATATTGGTAAGTACAAATTGTATGATTTTAATAATTCTCTTGTTTACATCATTATGTATAAGTTATCTCTTGTTTATCTTTCAGTGCTGCTAGAGCTGATGTTGACTCTAATCTAGATGATGTCTGTAAATTATTACGAAGTACAGGTTTCTCAACAGCAGCCACAGCAAAAAGACCTGCAAAATATCCAGAAGACTACTTTAGGTAAGAATTAATAATGACACTGTAAATGCTCTTAAATTCTGCATTATCAGTTCCTGGATGTAAGGGCAAATTCGCCATTCCACGCTTCCACACAGATCGCTTTAAGTGCTCTTTTATCCCTGCCATGTGCAGCAACAACAATTTTAAAACATGGTGGGAACTAGCGGTAAACTAGTGTGAGCTGCGTCGGTGTTTCTAAAGAAACAGTTATGTAAAAAGATAAATTTAACACCGTAAAAAAGTATGTGGAAAAACTTACTGACGTTTCGGATGTTAATCCTCCGAYGAAGGATTTTAACATCCGAAACGTCAGTAAGTTTTTCCACATACTTTTTTACGGTGTTAAATTTATCTTTTTACATAATAATTTTAAAACATATCACTTGTATCATAGGCGTCTTATGTATTTTTATACTTGATACTCTTATAATAATTATATATATTATTTATCGCTAGTTTGTGTTTTTGTATCATAGTTTCATTATCAGTTCTACAAATTGGTAATTAACATTTTACACTTTCCAGTGCTGTTTTGAAAAAGTAGTTAAGCCGTAGTTGCATATTAGATAGTCATTGAGGTTGCGTGATAGATGCCTTTCTTCATAATTACTCATCAGAATCTAACACTACAATTATAATCATTGTATTTTTTGATGCCAAGGCTTAGCTGCTTTATAGAAACTATGAAATCATATTATTTCTTGAATTTCAGTCGTGTACCAGTGTCTGAAACGTTTGTTGATATGTTGATTGGACGTCTTCGATCTGATGATATATATAATCAGGTATATTACGTTTCTTTTTGCTAATTTGTCCTTTCATTCTTTGCTCATTCATTTAGCCCATTTCTTGAGGCCACTAGTAATTGAATAAGATATTATACTTCAGCTGGATTTTTTTTTCCATGATCTTTTTTTCCTTTCCTTGTTTGCATTCTTTCAAATTTCTTTGTTTCTTCGCACATAATTCTTTCCTTCCACTGAATTCTTTGTAGTGTTTGACTTGTCTCCCTATTTTTTCACACTATTCCTTTGTAATGTTCATGCAGTAATGGCCATTTTTTTCACTAATCAGCACTTGTACCATTTTCTTTTCCTTTATAGTGGCTCAATCACCCAAATTACTTGATTCAACTTCTTTTTTGATGCACTTGAATTGAACATGTACATGTAGCCTGACTTAAACCACATCTGAAACTTAGTGTGACACTATTGTAAATCAATATTTATTTGTGATAAGTTTTTTTTTGTGTACTGTCAATTAGATCTCAGCATATCCTCTTCCTGAGCACAGAAGTACAGCTCTGGCTACCCAGGCATCCATGCTGTATGTCATCTTGTATTTTGCACCTGAAATACTTCATAACCAACAAGCTAAAATGAGAGAAATTGTAGACAAACACTTTCCTGATAATTGGGTAAAGTATGATTATCTCACTAACTAATGTCTAAATTAAAGCTTTGTTTGCAGTCCAGATTTACATCAAATGTACAATGTACATACAAATTCACTACGTAGAAGAAAACAATCTGTTTTATTGTGCCTAGGTAATAAGTACTTACATGGGGATTGTGGTCAATCTTGTTGAAGCTTGGGAACCATATAAAGCAGCCAAAACAGCTCTCAATAACACACTTGACAATACAAACATCAAAACACTGGTATGATTAGGTCCACTTACCTGGCATGCTATCACTTCCTACCTTTCTTCTTCATTTCATTCCTCCAATTTACCTTTGACTTCACCTTTTTTCCTCTTCATTCCTCCCTTTTTCAGCTATTTTTCTATTATTCTTCTTTTGATCCTCTCCTACCCTTCTTTTCTTGCTTCTTGCTTCCTCCTCCTTCCATTTTTCTCCTCTTTCCATCTATTCATCCCATATTTTCTTTCCTTCCAACATTCAACCTTCCCTGTCATACTAAACCTTCAACGTCTACATTTGTAACTTGACTTTGTGCTTTTCAGGCAACAAAACGGAATGCAAAAGTTCAAGAACTTAATTCTGAAGTAAGAAACTGCTTTCTGATATGTCATATTACTATAACTAATACAGCTCCAAAAGGAATATTACATTTTACACTTTTTAGGTATTGAACTATCTGCGAGAAGGTTTTCTTGTGGAAGAGTATGTACTGGATCATATTCCAAAACTAATGAATTGTCTGAGGGACTGCAATGTAACACTTCGGTGGCTGATCTTACATACTTGTGATGGTAAGACACATTTATCTCCTATTCAATATATTTTGAGTGAGATAATATCAATCCTTAATGCTTATAGTATATTAAACTCGTGGACTGAATATTGTTTGTTTGTTTTGCAGTGTTTGACAACAACAAAAGATGCCGTTCTATCAGAGACATTGTTTTTGCCTCAGGGTACTCGCCGAGGGGAGTTTTTGAACTGCTATTAAATACCGCACAGTTTGAATTGAAACTGAAGGATGTAAGTAGACTGTTCTTTTCTTAGTGATTTTTATCAATTTTTTTAATACATTATTGACTTAGCAATGAAATCAGGAAATTGAAGGCAATGCATATTAATCTGTTATGTAAAAATAGTGAAATAGTGCGATTATTGAATTTTAACCATGATTGTCTAAATACAAATAGCTGGCTGAACAGCTCTAAATTTTCTCTTTTCAGATGTTCAAATTAATGTTATCACAGAAACAAGGAAATTGGGAGAAAAATAAAAAAGAGGGAATTGATAGRATGGATGAGCTTTCAGAGGTTTTCTCTGGAACAAAACCACTTACAAGAATAGAGAAAAATGGTACAKTGTTGCAGACATTATAGTTGCAATGTTTGGCAATCAGATGAATAATGATTATTACTTTATATTTGAWRAATCCCAACCACTGTTTAAYTYATTTTAGTAGCCRCTAGATAGGAATAACCATTTATGAATGATATTAGTGGTTTTCATAAGTAATACCTAATGCTACACAATTCTCAGCGATCACCATTGGTCAACATGTGTATCAAGTCAATAAAATGTTCATGATTATCATTGATTATAATTATTTTAATACCAGAAAATCTACAAGCATGGTTCAAAGAGATGTCAAACCAAATCAGYTCATTAGATTATGATGATTCAACGTCAGCTGGTAGAAAAATGGTTCAACTTATTCAAGCATTGGAAGAGGTGATTTCTCACTAAAAAGCATTAAAATTCTTGTATACTGTGGGACCCCGGCAACTCGATACGGCAACTCTGTTATAATGCCTGGATTTTTATGTCCCGGTGAATTAAACTCCCATACTTTTCCCTTTTAAATAAGGCACCCCATTAACAATATATACGATGCCCCTTTGGTTGCAGAGTTAGCAGGGTTCCGCAGTAGCTTGTTGTAACTGCAAATGTCGTCAATTCAAGCAAATATGTAAAGTTTTTCCTCTTTTTAAGGTACAAGAGTTTCACCAACTGGAAAGTAATTTGCAAGTACGACAGTTTCTTCTTGAGACCAGAACGTTTCTTCATCAAATGATAAGGACAATTAACATCAAAGAAGAGGTATTGTATGATTTAATGGTCAAGTTAACCATGGATTTAGTTCATCTTTGTTTTTATTTCCAGGTTTTGATAACAATTCAGCTGGTTGCTGATCTATCATATGCTTGGAATATCATTGACAGGTAATATGAATAAACGCAACAAGAATAATACATAAACATAATCATAGCCATAAACTGCTTGAATGTAAATATGCATTCTTTTTAACGCGATTTTCTTAATGGTTTGTACTGCACAGTTATTCAGGTTTTATGCAGCAGGGAATCAAAGTCAACCCAACACTTGTACGAAAACTGAGAGCAACATTTCTCAAGGTACAGTTACCGAGTCAGTTTGTCTGTCTGTCTGTCTGTCTGTCTGTCTGACTGTAGTATTCATTTACTTCCAGCAGTCATACCGTTCGCTTGTACGTCCGTTTATCAATCCGTTTATCAATCATTTCCCAGATCAACCCAGATACGACTGCTCCCATGTGGCTTTGATAGCTCAGTTGGTAGAGCATTGCACCGGTATCGCAAAGGTCGTGGGTTCGAATTCCCGTTCAAAGTCAGATTTTTTCTGGCTTCTTTTCCAGTAGTAGACTGCATTCGCATTTCAATCATTTCCTATTTAACATTAATTTGTGTTTGTATAGATGGCGTCAGGTATGGATCTTCCATTAGTGCGCATCAGTCAGGCCAACAGTCCAGATCTTGTGAGTGTGTCGCAGTACTACTCTGGTGAACTAGTAGCTTATGTCCGCAAGGTATACACTTTAGGGCCGTCTCTTGAAGTGTTGTCATATAAAGTTAATGTTATTATAAAGTTAATGGTAATGTTAATATTRTTTTTTCCTTATATTTGTAAGGTTCTTCAAATTATTCCCGAGACAATGTTCGGTTTGCTTGATTCAATCATCCGCTTACAAACCCACAGCATCAAAGAGGTAAGCTGTGATGACGTCATTACGAAATGATTGCGATGATTATCATGATRAAATGATTGTAATTGTTTTCAGGTTCCTACAAGGCTGGAGAAAGATAAGCTTCGCGAGTATGCCCAGTTTGATGAGCGTTATAAGGTTAAKTTTGTATTAGTTGTTCTTCACCTCTATGATGAAATTGCAGCACGAGATCGTTTCCATGTTTCATTATATTTGACTGTTTATGGTGGTTCTTTTTGTAGATTGCTAAACTGACACATGGGATCTCAGTCTTTACAGAAGGGATTTTAATGATGAAGACGACACTTGTTGGCATTATCAAGGTTTGTTGAAAATTAAGTCAGATATATCTATTTACAAAAAACGTTGTTAGTTCTATTTTTAGTTATAGTCTTGTTCATCCAAATGTGTTTGTGCACTCAGTTTTCAAGTAAAAAAGCAAGTAATAAAACATCGACACTACTTTTTCAGGTGGATCCCAAACAGCTTCTAGAGGACGGCATCAGGAAGGAGTTGGTGAAGCAAGTTGCSAGTGCTTTACACATTGGACTCATCTTTAATCCTAGAGCAAAAGTATATCAAACATGCTATACTCAAACTTAAATATTGACAGGACCCATAGTTAATTATGAAATTAAGACTGTGTATTTTTTGACACTTCAGGGACGGTAATAGGCAGTTGGCATTCAGGCATTAAACATGCAGGCCAGCAATGTACTGATATTGACAAAAAACTATCAGTATAACTGTCAAAACTTTTTCAAGTTGTATTGTTATAACATTATTTTGTTCAAGTTGTGAATATATGAGATATTTAATTAATTCTCTTTTTAGGTAAGCGAACTTCCCATCAAGCTTCGCGAGCTRGGAGGAAAGATGGACGGTTTTCGACGATCGTTTGAATACATACAAGACTACATCAACATTTATGGCCTCAAGATTTGGCAAGAAGAAATATCTAGGATTATCAACTACAATGTAGAACAAGAATGTAACAGCTTTCTCCGAGAAAAGGTCCTTGATTGGCAGTCGATCTACCAATCAACGACTATCCCCATTCCCAAGTTTCCACGGGTTGATGAGTCCGTAAATTTCATTGGAAGACTGGCGAGAGAAATATTGAGAATTACMGACCCAAGGTGAGTGGTATGGGTTTTCCTTGGTTATTTCTCATTTTTTCTTCCRTCTGTCCTTCCATCYATTCATTGATTGATAATTTTGTGTGTTTAAGGGTCACGTGTTATATCGATCAGATGGGAGCCTGGTACGATACCAGGACTAAGCAGGAAGTGATGAACCTGTTGGTATTACGTCAGCTGCAACAGAGTGTTGGTACATTTGGTCTGATTGGACTCGATAAGCTGTTGTCATTTATGATCGTCAAAGAACTTCAGGTCAGTTCAAGTCAATAGAGTCGATTTCGTATGAGTGGGAAACGGACGGTACTGTAATGTGACCGTAATCGTACTGTAACCAAATTCTAGTGTCTCATTGCTTCACCAAAATTGTGTAGGCCAGGTCCGGTAACTGTGCGGTAGTTTCTACCGTACGTTTCCCACTCATACGAAATTGACTCTAATTACCCTAGTAAATGTAACAGTAACCTTCGTTGAATCCGGGAATTTTCTTTGAAAAAAATTAATCAGCTCAGTCTGTTGTAATGGGCAAGCGTTGACTTGAGATCGATAATTATGAAGGGACTTAACTAAATATTAAAAGCATCGCCATGTGTTGTAGTTTTTTTAAAGAATTTGTTTAAAAATGATTTCTCGTTTTTCAGAAATTCGTTATCGTTCTTCAAAGTGCCTTAAAAGACAAAGTGATCATCGATACTATGACCAGTTTGTCAAAAAGCTTGACTCCTGTCAAGAGTCTAGTAGGTCAGTATTGTTTCGTGGTCCAGTTTTACTTGTAAAACCCTCTTTTTTGCTGTCTGTTTCTCAAAAGGCTTTTTAAAATCCAGTATTCTGAGTTCGTGTCATCTGAATTCTACAGCTAGTCCATACCGTATATTCCAGCAAGCTTCTCAAAAGACTGTCAGACTGTGGCCTCAGTACACGGAGATTATCATGAAGGTATTTTTAGGGTACTTTTACTGGTAAGTCTAGTGTCTATTTATGAGTATTTTAACTATTATAGGTTGGTCAGATGCAGCTTATACGACGACAAATCGCTAATGAGCTGAACTGTGCCGCTAAATTCGACTCGAAAATTCTAGAGAATGCTCTTCAATCGTTTAACAAGTAAGTATTTCACGAGGAAAACATGTTWATTGCATTAAAGACTTGTTACTATGCTACATTCTGTGCAAACGTTTTAGYGTCCTATTAAGTCGTTATCAGTACAACACTAGTATTATTTATAATGTAAATCCGTGAAGGGATAGTCTCTTTTGCAGCCTAAGCTTTTATCGGGCTTCCTGTTCCTCCCAAACAAAAGGTTAGGCTGCCAAGGAGACTATCAAACGATGAAGAAGATTAAAAACACATTGTTGCTGTTGAACCTCCGCTTTAACTTCTTTAGGGACAAAATTTTTCCCAATCAGTGTTGAGTTCACTCTGGACTTAAGTCTCGTTATTAATATTGTAWTAACATTATGTTTCAGAGCGACTTTGAGGGACATCGAAGCTCATTACCAGGATCCATCCCTCCCGTACCCTAAGGAAGACAACCCGTTAATGTTTGAACTAACATCATATCTTGAATGGTCTGGTATCCATAATCCATTAACAAAGGTATAATCATAGCCTTGCAAGCGACCTTTCTATGACCTTCTATCAAAGTACTGGACTTGGGTGGAATTTCAGGGGTGTCCCTAYCCCGTCATGACTAAGTTCAACACAGGAAGACCGCATTTGATGGTCACATATAGTTAACTCTTTGTGGAAGTCGTGCAAATACAAATCTCAAAAAACGAAGTGACAACTAGCTAAAAAGTGGAAGCTACCATTTGTTCAAGAGAGAAAGTGTTGTTCTTGTAAAAATTCATGTTATTTAACTAAAGCAGCGTATTTTTATYTTCAGATTTACGTGACAACCAAGAAATACCCATTCTTTGCCTTGATCAACTTCCTGTGCGTCATCTCCCAGATTCCCAAGCTTGCTTACGTCAAAAATATGGGTATATATACAATTTTCAATTATTCTATATCATTGAAGAACAACAGCAGTTCCCTCACATTTTATCACCCTTGAACTATGCACGCAGGCACAATTTTTTAACAGCCCCTCTAGTGTATTACTCCTGTGTTTCGTAACGGCACTGCTATACAAGTCGTTTGCTACGAAAATTGATGAACTTATTTAGTAACGCCGTCACCAGATATGTTTAGAATGACATTAATTAAGGAGTCATCTTAAACGTAAATGGAAACTTTGGCATTCATTTTTCTTGGGTTATATGTTTAAACTCTTATTCGATGTTCGTAGGTGCGATGGTACCCCGTAAGCCTACTGATCAGATCGATTGTGCTCCTTTTGTTGTTGGTATGATCACAGTTTTAAAACAATTCCATTCTGAATTCACGGAGCAGTTTTTTGCTTGTTGTGGTCAGTATGTCCGCTCACTGGTTGAAGCTACAGCTATCAAGTAAGTCGGTTTTCTTTTTCTTGCATAAAACTATTCATTTTAGCTTTGAGTCCAGTAKACGTCGAAGTAGAATGCGCTCGCTTTGTCTCGCTACTGTCTGCTGTGTCCTCCTGTAATAAAGATTGTAAATTTCAAAAATACTACTAAACACAAAATTTCACGGAATGGACTCTCAAAAATGCTTGTATTGCTCAGGAGAAATATTAAAAGTGCTTTTTAGTATTGTGGTTTTGAACTAAACCGSAAAATATGAAATATACGTTGTGTGATAAGTACATGTGATTCTCTCACAGCGCGAGAAACACTGACCTCCCCCCTGAGGTTGTTAATATGCTGATCTTCCTGGAGGATTACTTATCTTACAGTCGATTGGACAGAAAGGTAAGCCATAGCTTAAACCCCGCTAATACGGGCACTGATTGTCTGTTTGCCGTGTTTGTTTATAAAGTCATTTCTTTCTGCAGGCGGTCGAGGCGCACATTCCTACGTATATCTTTGACCAGTTCCGTCAAAATGTCAGTTAGTATTCTCCTCGATGTTACGTAAACGCAACCAAACGTGCGTACTAATTGCGTTTGAGATTGTCTCGCTGTTGTCAGTGGATCAACACTTGATTTAAGGCGAAAACCTCTGTGGCACGAATAACTCGAAATCATTAATTTTATAGAACCTGAATACAAAAAGCACTATCCAGTAAATGATAGTAATGTATTAACTTTGATTTATATGAATATTTTATGGTATAAAGTTCACTTGAATAAGTTGACGATGGCACAACAACATAATTAGCCTTGCGCGATTTCCCCATGCATCACCGCGGTCTCAGCTATCATCATTTGCCCTTTTAACCAGTTTGTTGTATTTAGTGGTGAAGTGTATAGTTGTGAAGWTATTTTTCCTCTTTGTAAATTGTAACCATTAGGTCATTACATGAAAATGATAATTGAATTATAAAAATATCAGAAATATAGAAAGATTGTTTAAATAAAATACATATTTTTAATACGTTGTTAAATCTTGATAGTTTTGACGTAATTGGTAAATTACGAACCATGTGGGATTGTCTACGAAGTCATATTTGAGCATGCGTAATTGGTAAATTGCTAGCCATGTGGGATAGGCTCGTAAATCACTTAGAGTGTAGCCTTTTTCAGTGAAGTCTTTATTACAGTTGGTAATTAACCTTTTGCGCATGCTTAGATATTAAATGAATAAATGATTTTTTTTCTCAAGCTAGCTTGAATCTTTTATTGTCTTCGTGTTCAGGTTATACAAATCAAACAAATTTGTATTCTTAATAACAAGGACCATCGTTGAATAAGATGTCATCTAGCGCGATATCACTGAGAAACGATGTTCCTCTGACCCCCTCAAAGACGACCTATAACATAACAACCATGTATCAATTTAAACTGAGAAACGATGTTCCTCTGACCCCCTCGAAGACTACCTACAACACAACAACCATGTATCAATTTAAACTGAGAAACGATGTTCCTCTGACCCCCTCAAAGACTACCTATAACATAACAACCATGTATCAATTTAACGCGGTATTCCTGTGCTTTTGATAGTGATCGCTAATTTATTAACGATTAGTGCAGATCTTGTTGCTGTAGGTCTGCATAGATGTTTCAAAATAAATTTTGAAACTTTTGATTCGGGTCTAGGGACATAATGGGAACTACAATAAGGATCTTCGTTGATATCATTTTCTACAGGCAATGTGCAGCAAAGCATGATGGTGGATGTAGTCGTCGTACTTATTACAGACCCTAAAATATCTCCCTAAAAGGTGTTTTTATGTTTGCTTTGTAGAAGTGTTACACAACTACTTCTACTTTTATTCAGAAAAAGCAAAAACTGCTAAGGAGCTAGGACTGTTGCAGCGGACATAAAAAAGTACGAGGACTACTAACTACCATCATGCTTTGCTGCACAAAATTGCCTATTTGTGATTACCCTGTATTTGCAAGTGCTTGCTATAGCAACCTCTTGATAATGCCACATGTCGCCTTGGTCACCAGAYACTGTAAAAACTAAGAACTTTTTACGACTTTTAGGCTTCTGGATGTAGACGTTGAGGGATCCCATGTCTCTACCGTACATGTGATAGTAAAATGTCAGGCAGTGTGCGTCAGATGGTGGTAATGCAGGACTTTTGAGATATGCAGTTTGACCTTGACCATTCTGCTTTGACGTTTCCATGTAAACGTAGTGACCTATAATGAACAGAAAACAATATTATCATGCTGTCAATCATCATGAAGGCAACGCAATCATTGGTTTAACATAGATAACACATAGGTTACACATAGATAAAAATTCGTTTATGGACAATGTSAAGCGATCTTTTATGTTTTTAAGCTGAAGAGGTTGATAACTGACAAYCAAGATTGTGTTTGTTGACAATGCTTATTATAAGACGAGCCAGGTACTTACCATATCCAGAAGTATTGTCACCATCAGGGCCTGTATTTGAGCTCTTAGTAGTGTATTTATGTCTGGCCCATTTGTACTTGTTGGTACCTTTGCGTGATTTCCACTGACACATGTCTCGGTCAAAGTCACAGTCGAGAGAAATTCCAGCTTGTTAAAAAATAAAAAAATACTTTAGTATAAGATACGCGTTGTGAGTTTAGCATAGCCTATGCTCTACATCAAG